CCCCATCCACTGCCACTGAGTTGATTCTGACTCATAGCAAACTCCATAGGGTTTCCAAGGCTGTAAATCTTTACAGAAGCAGACTATGTCTGCACAGTGGTTGGTGGGTTTGAACTGCTGACCTTTTGGTTAGCAGCCTAATGTCTTTACTACGGCACCATCAGACCTTCTTAAATAAGGTGTATGGGACCCTGATGTAAGGACTGGTTTGTTTTGCCATATTGCTACACTTAAAATGTCCCCTCCCAGAGGCGGAAAAGGGGGAACTCACTAGCATCAAGACAGAGAAGATCCAAGAGAGGAACGTGTCTTTGATCTGAGATCCCTGCACTGAGATGGTAGAGACGGCAGAGAGACGGCAGCAACAGAGGTAGCAGAACTGAGAGGCCAGCACGAGACAGAGCATGAGCTTGCCGGCCACGGAGCGAGAAAGCTGAGTGCCTTTGGGCAGGCGGCTTGTTGGCGGAGTGGGGTGCAGCGTATCAGCAGAGCTAGGAGAGTTTTGTAACACTGACCTGAGCAGGGCAGAGGCTGAGGCTGAGGCAGAGGGAAGTGTGCCTGAGGCACGGCTGAGAAGGTGTTCTAATGGAAGAACCGTATCCGGAGTTGTTCCTGATCCTGAATTGTAACCTGTTGCTTCCCTAATAGACTCCATAAGCATGAGTATTGTCTGTCAGCTCTGTGGGCCATTGCAATGAATTATCAAACCCAGCAGAGAAGTAGTGAGTGCCGTGGGAAGGATGGTTGGTGAAAAGTTTGGGGGGGTGTCAGCATGTCTGACCTTCACCTCATAGGAATTAGCCTTAGGCTGATGCTGCTGATTCATCCTCTCTCTCTCTCTCTCATGAAGTTGGAGTTCAGAGGAAGGTGCCTTCCCTGTGCCCTTTCTGCACTGCCAATCTACAAAGCCTGTGAGGCTGCCTCCTCCAGGAAGCCTTCCCTGATCACTGTATATCCTCCCTGTCTGTTGTCTTCCGTCGAGTGTGGCCAGCTCACCTGTCAGGGGATTGCTTGTGTGCAAACTGGCTCCTTTTCCGGGTCACTTATGCTTTCCGTCTCCTGCGTTCCCTGAAAAGTTGACTGGAGTCTCAGTTGACATCCTTGGCACAGTCACCCCACCCTCTCCTTCCCAATTCTATTGGATGCCCCCTGTGGGAAGTTTCCTCAATGGCCCTCCTGTATCTTTTCCAAATCCAGTCGTGTCCTGGCCTTGAAGAGGCCTCCAGGTATGCTGGCCTCAGCTGGCCTCCTGGTGGGCTATATGGTGTGCTGCGGTGGGAGCTGCCCGGGTCTGGCAAACCCACCGAGGCTACAGCGTGGCATGGCCCGAGGCTCCCTGTACAGGGAAAAAAATGATGTGCTGCCCGGTGCTAACCGTGTGGTCCCTTCTCCTCCTCAGTGATGAAGTTAAGGAGTGTCTGGGGCTACGGGATCTTGGTCGCACTGCATGGACACCCTGGGCAGGCCTGTGGAATCGGGTACCAGGCCGCATGTGCCAGGTGGCTTCTCCAGGACAACCACAGGCATCTGTGTTTTAATACAACAGCCTTTCGTGCATTAAAAAGCCCCACAGAAGACCAAGACCGCACACCGCAGGGTGGGAAGGGTGGGTCTGTAGAACACAGTGGAAGCCAGTGAGTGAGGAAGCCAGTGTGATCACATACACACAGCCGTGGCGGGCTGTGAACACTTCCACATCTGTCACCTGATGTCACGTACAACCTCGGGAAGCAGGGTGACTGTCACCACTTCTCAGATGAGAGTGGAACTCGGCTGACTTCTGAGTCCCAAAATGACAGAGAAGTTGGTGAAAACAAGGTCCTTACCCCATCGCTAAGAGCCAGCGATCACAATGGGTTGAAGCAGGAAAGCGAAACGTTTACTGAGTGTTGATCCCCAAGGAGACACAGTCACATCCCTAAAATGCCTGTCTCCCGGAGCAAAGGGGGAAACATGGCCACGTAGGGAGACAGGAAGGGAGTTGGAGATCCCTGGGACGGCCAGGAATGTCTCTGTTTCTCTCTTCCCTGGTTACTCCGGACTCAGCGTCCCTCTTCCCAGGTCATCTTGCTTCATAGATTATGGTTCTCGGCCAAAATCAGTCATGGGAGAGGGCTATGCTTAGAAGAATACACGATTGAAAATAACAAATCTAAAGCACTCAGTGTCCATAAAGAGGTCGGCTATTCTCTTTAAAGAAAGCAAAAGGGAGGGAAAATGCCGGGTTAGTCCCTGTGATAAATGTCCACTTTAATCCTGCCTGCCAGGCTCTGGTGGCGTAGTGCCTGCCATCTGAGTGCTCACCAGAAGGCTGGCAGTTCAAACCCACCAGCCAGTCCTTGGAAGGAAGACTGGGCAATCTACTTCCATAGTGATACTGCCTTGGAAACCCAAGGAGGGGTCGCTATGAGTCAGAACCAACTCGCAAGCAGTGAGGATGATCCCACCTGGTCACCTGGCGGGCACCACAAGGACCACGGCTACAGGAGCCAGGCCAGGTGACTCATGGCACCGCACACCACCAGAGCCAGCCGAGTGCTCAGGATGCCGAGAGCTCAGCGGACAGCGCACTGGCCATCACCCCGGACGCCCGGACAGGCCTGTTCCCAGCTCTACCTCAGTGCAGGGCTGCGGACTTACACTTATCCCTGGAATCTTGCACAAGGGGCCCCGACCCCAGTGATGTCCTTGCACTGGGACAGATGCTCTCCGGCTTCCCAGGGGCCCCCAGCACCCGGCAGGCAGGTCCGATGCTGTCCTTTTCCCCAAACAGGGGCAGCAGGATCTGTGGGAGCAAACTGCCTGCAGCTAGGCC